TAATAAACTAAAACTGCCAGTAGGTGGTGGTAAATGTCTTAATGATTAAGTCATTTTAATGAAATGATACTCTAAATAATAAACTAAAACTGCCAGTAGGTGGTGGTAAATGTCTTAATGATTATGTCATTGAGTCATTCATTCATTCATTCATTTGAAATGTCTGATTCATTCAGGAGTGAAGTAAATGGTTCTTTATGAATGGTCCATTGAATCATTAGGTTTGTTCAACTTGAAGCGGATCATCACCATCAGACTGATCGTGTGTGACATCAAAGTATCACGAGAGCGATTAGAGAGCAGACGACTGTGCGATGCTTTTGAAACGCTCTCGCGGGCCTTTGATGTCATAAACCGATCGGTCTGTGCAGCGCCGCTTCAAATCCAACAAGCCAAATGGTTCACCCAATTCATTCAAAACGTGGATTAAGAAATGAAATGTCTCTGCGTGTTGCTCGGAGACAAACAGTTTTGCTTTGTCTTTCTATTTTCGTTGGCAAAATTGAGCAAAACAGACAGCATTGTGTCTAAAATAACACAATATTAACTTCTTACTTACTGAACTACGTGCTCGGCTGGTTTACAGTGAAACCCTCCTCTACATGATCAATTTAAGACCTTCGGCCATTTTATTGTCAGTGTTTGCTAAGTCAAGCATCAGCAGTACTGTTACTCCTAGTCATCTGAAGCCCTAAATCATTCAAATAAAGCATTCCAGTTTAGCCCCTGTGTTTGTGCTCCTATAGCCTTATAGTTCTGTTGCTATTTTGAATGTTTTTATTTTTCTGTTAATATATAGATATAATAATAATAATAATAATTTAATATTAATATTGTTTAATCATAATATTGAATATACACCACCAGTCAAAAGTTTAAGATTTTTAATGTTTTTTAAAGAAGTCTCTTCTGCTCACCAAGCCTGCATTTATTTGATCCAAAGTACTGCAAAAACAGTAAAATTGTGTAAATATTTGAACTATTTAAAATAACTGTTTTCTATTTGAATATATTTTAAAATGTAATTTATTTAAAGCATCCTTGCTAAATAAAAGCATTAATTTCTATAAGCCCCCCCCCCCAATAATTGTACTGACTCCAAGCTTGTGAATAGTACAGTGTATAGTTTACCAGTAAAGACTGTATGTGTGAAAGGGGCTAAACTCTTCCT